AGAGAGAGAGAGAGAGAGAGAGAGAGAGAGAGAGAGAGAGCTGAATTGCGAGTCAAGTGCGAGCGAGAGGCATTCATTACTTGTGTCAAATTAATTTGCCAAATTGAACTCGAGATAAAGCTGGAAAGCTAGAAGAGATAGAGAGAGTGAGAGAGATAGTGAGAGGCAAAGAGTGAGGTGGGTGTACGCATCAATAAACAGATGGAATGCCAGTCATCTCTTGGGCAGAAAGAAAAGATCTAGCGGGCATTGGTTGAGGTCGCAAAAGGTAAAAAGGTAAATGCTACCCTTAAGCGCAATCAGTCATAAAATCCATTATGATGATTGTTAAAAAGTATTTCTTGTGGCATTGCACGAATAATCGTGGGCAACCCATAGCCAAGTATTTAAAAAGTAATAAAAACATTGCCAAAAATGTTTTCAGCTCAAATGATAAAGGTTCGAGCGCAAAAACTTCTGGCCAAAAGGAAATTAATAACAACAAAAAAGACAACTATGCGAGCACACAAATATAAAGCAAAGCTGCAAAAACAATGCGAAATCAAACCAACAGTAAAGAGCCATTCCTCAATAATGATGCCAAAGTCAGGAGCAGACAGAGCGAAATAGTTGATGAGGGAGAGGGAAACAGAAAGACAGCGAGTAAGAGAGAGAGCGAGAGCACAAGTGGAACTCATAGCCAAGCAATCAGCGCATAAGCACGCCCTGTAATCAAGCATAGACCCCTGGCAAGAGCCCCGAACCCAGCCGAACCCATCCAGCAAAACCGAACTGATGCGCAACGTGGCAAAATGAAAAGTTTTATAATTAAAATTGGAAAAAGAGAATGAGTGGAGCATGCTTTCTCGCACTCACTGTGTGCGCTGATAATCGCCGGGTGTTCCCAAACAATACACTTATTCAATTTTCAACAACATTTCCGACGGCTTAAACTGGAAGCAAATTTTGCTACCATATTGCTGTTGAATCGGTTCTCGGGAACATTTGCCCACCTGCTGTGCAATTGTGCATAATTGATGAGATTTAATTTGAATTAAGTTTGCTTAAAAAGCTTAATACATCGACATGCTATGTTGGCCAAGTCTTTGGATAATGCAAGTTGGCTTTTATCCGAGTTTTTCCGAGTTTTTGTTTGCTGGTTGTAATACTCTGGAATTTTGAAGCAAATAGTTTTGCATATAATGGAAGTAAAGTCAAGGTATTATACTCCAGAAAGTTTGCTTTAATGAAGTATGAAAGTGAATTATGTATCAGTCCTAGGATAGGTTCAATCTATTCCATTTACATCCAAGTTCCAAACGAAAAATTCTTGCAGTTGCATTGCTTGAAGAATTAAGAAGAATTAATTAAGCTGTTAAAGACATTTTTAGATCAATTTTAGATAAATATAAATAAAATATAATGAAATATTAAAATATAAAGAAATATAGAAATAAATGATATATATAAAGCATAAATATTCTTAAAAAATAAATATTAATAAAGTAATAAATATTCCTGCAGTTAAATTAAATAATTAAAGAAACTAAACGTTTTCTGGTTGGAATCTATGTTGGGAATGCTCGCCGCATCGCTCACTTCCCGCTGACCATTGGCGCATGATTGAAGCTGTTCAACGTCATTTGGTAATAATAGCAGCGATTGCCACGGGTAGCACTTCTTATAACATGTGTCAGATGCGAAGTGGCTGTGGCATGTCCGACATGCGCATGCATGCTGCTGATAATGGCAGCGCTTCATTCAACAATTGGCGTTTCTAATTATAGCCAGTTATCCATGTGCAGCATAATTGCTTGGCCAATTTGCCAGGGCAGAGTTCACGAGAAATGCTAAGAGCTGAGAGCTGAGAGCCGAGAGCGGAGCAATTTCGGCGGCCTCAATGTGATAGATGCCAATGCATATTAGTTGACAATTAACTTTAATTTGTGTGATAAATGCGTAAAATCAATTATTGTGTCATGCGTCATTTCTAGCATTGACATGTGGCATATTAATAGTTATGGCAAAGCATTAAATATGCATTTGATTCAATTACCTAACAGATGTGCGATTGCATGAGTGTACACATGTATATATGTGTGTGTGTAAAAATGTTTAAAGCTATTTTAATGCTAATTACAACAGCTAGAGACAGGCAGTTACGCGTACTTGTTTGCCGGTTGAAGATGTTTCGCTTGGGGCATTTAAATTTTCAAGTTTTAATGCAAAAGCCACACACACACACCCACACACGCTGACACATATGCATATATGAGACGCAAATTAACTTATGGCAACAATGCGACTCTCAGGCGTCGCCCACATCATCAACAACTTCATCATCCTCATCATCTACGTCGTCTTCATTGTTGTCGTTGGTTGTCGTTGACGACGCTGGATAATAGCTAGGTATCTATGTGTGTGTGTGTGTGTGCACACTCTCGCATTTGTATATGCAGGCTATATGTATGTATGTGCATGTAGGCATATGTATGTATGTATATGTAGATGCATGTGTATATATACGAGTGACACAGTTATTACCCAAATGCCTTGACGACGCAGCCAAGTTATACAATTGCTAACAATAAGAAATAAACTAGGAAATTAACTATATTCAAATGCTCTTTCGAGATGTTGAATGTTGAATATGAAGTCTTCTGCAGGAAAACACCGAGCACATGACGCAGCTTCGGCTTATTGACTAACGGAATGCAATGAAGTCAATATTAATAGATATTATAGATATTTATGTATATAGTGTAGATAGATCAATAGTAGATATATAAATTATGCATTCATATTTAAATTAGTATATACTATCACATAAATTGCATTGCATTTAATTGCATTGATAGATTACTCTAATTCAGAGTGTAGCTGTAGAGTTTTAATTCATTAATTAAATTATTATTATTAGTAATTAAAGAAATTTTATTTCATTTTGCTTATTTGCTATTAAAAATTGCAACAAAATTTTTTCTTTATCAAGTTCGTGCCGCTGCTTCCTCAATAGTTGAATATCTTATGCCTTTAAGGACAAGCTTGACTTCCATTTATATTACGAATTGAAGTACATTAAAACTTTATTTTTGCAAGCTTAATTTCTTATATATTTTTTGGATTTTCATTTATTTTTATATATATATATTTTTTTTGTATTTTTATTTATTTACTTTTTTTTAAATTTTTTTTTTATATGTATATTAAGTTTTATTTATTTATTTATTTTTTTTTAAATTATGATTTTTATAAAGTCTTCCCTTATTTTATATGTATATATATATATATATATATATATATATATATATATATATATATATATATATATGTTTTTTTTTCATAAATATATATTTTTTATATATATTAAAAGCCTATTTAAATTCTTAGTTATTTAATTAATTTTTGTGAAGTGGCATTTAGTTCCGACTACTAACTACATCAAGTAAAATATGATTATTTTGGAATCGTATTTTCCCTTTAACTATATATCCGAAGAAGGCCATCAACTAATATCGAATATCTCAACTTTCTGTACCTCTGCAATCTGCATTGCCCTGCACCAGCTTTATTCCCTTTGTAATTACCCCTACAGAGTGCAGAGTATAAATTCGTTGCACGCCTAAAGGCGTCTCAGGAAATTGTGGCAATTTCTCTAGACTTTTGTGCAGCGAAAGTGCGCGTATGCAACTTACTTTTGCTTGTTTTCATTCTTAATTAATAATTAAGAAATAAGCATGACAACCGGCAGCAACGACGACGACGGCTTCATTGTAGTAGTTGTTGTTGTTGCTGCTTCTTTTGAGTGTGGCATTACTTTGGGCGCTCAATGCACGTGGTTTAATTAGCTTGGCTTAAAGCAGCTGCTTGCCGGCTTAACGGTAATGGCCCTGGCTGCCTAATTGCCAGCATTTGTTAGACAGCATTTGTTTGCCCACTCATCTGTCGCCGAGTCATTTGCGTTTCCATTAACCAACCAATATAAACACACACACACACACACACACACATATACAGCGACAATCACAAATCTCGCCATTTTCAATTCAATAAAATGCAAAAATATTGAAAACGAAAAAAAAGAAAGAAACAAATAACGGAGGCAAAAGGAGAAAAGCAAAGCTGTGAAGTAGCTCATAAAAATGTAAAAATTTTGCGCCCGACGCAGCACTTAAAAACCGAACCACAATGCGTAACGTGCTCTATGTGTGTGTGTGTGTGTGTTTGTGTGTGTCTGCCACCAATGCATAGCCAATATGGCTGCGTGTGCGTGTGCGCTCAAACCAACGCACTTCCGGTTTAATTAAACGGAAACTGATTTAATTGCATATTTGATGAGCTGCGAGGCAGCGGCCAAATGAATGGCTAGGCACAACAACCGAGAGGTCCTTGGTGTTATTGTAATCCTTACTGAGGCTGTAGATGCTGTTCCAGCTGTTGTTGTTTCTGTTGTTGTTGTTTCTGTGTCGCACTTAGTTATGCAACAGTAACAAGAAACAGCCGCAACGCCCGGGACTATATGACTTGACGCTTTGAGAGCTTAGCATAAATTGTGATGAATACTAAAAAGGCATTTTATTTATGCCTCACTTAATTACACACCAACAACATCAACACCAACACACACAGACACACTCACACACACACACATACATCATTCGGTTAAGTTGATCTTTGTCGCCATGCAACTGCGAAAAAGTGGCAATATCCTTAGCGTCCTTGTCACCTTCGTGAAGTAAATAAATAAAATGCCAGCGGAAAGACGTCCACAGCTGCAGACACAGCCAGTTCGTGGCCCGGTTTATGCGTAAATTATTTGATGAGATGCGTGGCCAGCACTTGTCGAAGACAAAGTCTTTAAATAAACAACAATTTCAATTCATTTTAAATGGATTCTGTGAATTCCCGGCTCATGCGTGCGCTGAATATGTGAAACGATTGATTGATTGAACACCCAAAGCAATTGCCACAGAGCCGACTCTTTGTACTTGCTCTAATTTTATATGGATTGCAAGTTGAGTAATTATCAAGTAATTAAATTTCCATTTTATGGAAGTAAAAACAAAAACCAATAAAAATTTATAAATATGTATCAAAGTCTACTTCAGCCCCGATTGTTCCATCTTCTGTTTGAGATTGTGTTTTATGTGGCTTATCAATGCTGCCCGAAACGAAAACACTTTTCACGATATAACTTTTCGCATAAACGTTGGCCTCCACTTGTGCGCTGGCCGTGCGCCTTGGCCAGATAGTTAATTTTTATTATTTCCTCTTCGCGCCACAGCCAATGAAATTGACAATGTCCAGTCTTGGCTCGGCTGCTGGCTTTTAATTTAATGTGCGCATTTTTATGAACATGTTAATTTGATATTCAATAAAGTTGGTTTGATTTTCGGCTTTTAATGGATTCTCGCATTTAATGACGGCTGCCACTACAGCCGCAGCTCCTGCTTCCTTTTTGCCGCTGCTCCTTCTCCCATCTCCTGCTCCTCTTTGGTGCTCTGTTTTAATGCCATTCAACGCTTCGCTGAAGATTACCCAGCTCTGGCTACGGGGGAGGTGCGAATTGCTGCACAGCTTGTTGGGTTTGTGATTTGTGTGCGAATTGCACACTTCACTATGAGGCAGAGGCAGAGGCAGAGGCAGACGTGTGGGTAGGTGGGCGAGGCCAAAGCAGCGCTCAGATTGTAAAATCTGAAAATCTATGCATAAAAGCGCACCATTAATATTTTGCTTGACATTCGCGTTGGATTTGGATTTGGATTTCGGTTTGGTTGGCTTTCAATGGCATCAGCTAATTACCGTTGAAAGTTAGTTAAGCTAATGCATCCAGGAGCAAATGACACTTTTTACATTAAGATTTTCCGAACTAATCCGAATGCGAAAAGAAATGAAGTGCAAAACGGAATAATGAAATATTTCCATTGAATTTTCTATCATACATTTCGAGGTACATTATCTTTATCATCTCTCTCTCTCACTCTCTGTCTTACTTTCTAATTATTTTTCAAGTCCATTTGCACAGTTCACAAAATAGAGGAGCATTTAAATAAATGAAGTATTGTTAATTGAATTTATGTGCATGTAAATAGAATGTTTGTTATATTCTGCTGTAATTTGTATATATAAATATGTACTTTATTTATGTATAGTCTAGGTTAATGCATGTTTTATAACTTATCCTTCTAGTAGCCAAAGCCCTGCTATGCACAGCTAGATAAAAAGAAATTCGCTACCAAAATAGAATCAGAAGAGAGAAACAAAAATGTAGATATATATATATATAAATGTATATGTATCTATGTATATAAATATGTATGAGAGAAAGGCAAGAAAAGAGGGAATCATTTTATTACTTTGGCGCGGCAACAGATTTCGCTGGCACAAAAATGAATTTAGCATAAATGAAACATTTTTACGAGCTGCCATTACGGGCCAAAGCAACATGACAACAATAAAAACAAACAGAGAACACAAAATGGAAAAGCAAAACAAAAAAAAAAAAACAAAAACACACACACACAAGAAGACAAAGCAACAGACAGACAAACAGACTGCAAAACAAAGTGCAAATATTTGGTCAGACAAGACGCAAATGATGAACAGTCCAACAATTTATGTATGCGCAACGCGTCCTACATATATATATATCTATATAAGAATTCTATATAAAGCATAGGTATATATGTGTGTGTGTTAACGTATGTGTACACTGAGGAAAATTCAAGTCTGTTTGTATATAGAAAAATATATATATTCAATAAGCTATGAAAAATGCATAAGAAATAACAATTTTATAAGCTAATTTTATAAATTTAAAAATGTATGAGAAATAATGTATAAATATATATACATATACAATATATCGTATATAATATAATATACAAACATTAGCATAGTTCAAGCTCTTGAATGATGAAAGACTTCAGCTAGATATATGCAAAATGAATGAGAAGCTCGTGCTGTCAATCTAAATCTCAATATTGATGTTTTCTCAGAGTGTATGTGTGCAAGTGTCACAAGTCAAAGACACACACATACACACACAGACACACACACGCATACACATACATATAGCAAGCTGAGATAGCTCTGTGCAATAAAAAACATCATCGAAGCCATTTGTCAAAAGCAGCAACAGCCCAAAGAGCGAAACCGGCGCGGAGCACTTCGTATTTCGTATTCATTGCCAAAAATCACAATAACTGCGCTGCAAAGCGGGAGGACGTGAGCAGAGGCGGGTGTGGGTGGTGGGAGCAGTGTCGGCTCACGCTTTGCTCATTGTAAGAGCGCCCGCGAAGTAGGCAACATAAAGTGGCAGCTACCAATTTTCCCCATACCAGCCATGAATACGGGCAATACGCTAACTTGTGTCCAAACACGCGCGTCTACAAAATGCGTTGGCCACACTCACGACCCGCTACAATCCGGATCCGGCTGTGTGCTAGTGCGGGTGCGAGGGGGCGCGTCCGGGGCATTTTAAAGCGTGCCTGGGACTGGCGCGTCGCATCGTCTGCTGTGAGAAGCGCATAAATAATCTTGCTGCCTCACGGCTGTTGAAATGGCGTGAAATAATAAAAGCGACGTGAAAGCAATAGCGACCAGGCAATAGCAACAGTAACGGCAACAGCCATAGCAGCAGAGCCCAAAGGCCGTTTAGTTTCCCAGCAGATATTGCTGCTGTTGTTGCCCCTGATTCGTTGTTGTTGCTGGCATTTGGCATTGCGATAGTCCAGCTGCAGGCTGAATAGGACGGTCGAGTCGAGTCGAGTCGAGTCGAATCGCATCGAGTCGAGTGGGTGCTAAGCGAAATCGCGATTTTTAGTGCTGCCTCCCATCTATTTTTGCATAGTGCATTAAGTGTCTGCTTCGATTGCGTATACGCAGTGTGCAACGTGAATGGAAACGGGGCAATGGGCAAGGGCAACAGGCTGCAGGGGATACAGGTGACTGCAGTCTAGTTGCAGTTGAAGAAGAGTTGACTCAAAACTACGTATATTTAGTAGTAATCAGGGACCGTAACGATTAAAATTTGTATAGCAAAAAAATTAAAATAATAAATAATATAAATTATTTTTATAATAAAAATCAAAAATAAGAGTTATGATTTGATTTTTATATAAAAATTG